TATGCATAGGTTGCGCTCAATTTGGTTTGGTCCAATTACAAATGTCACATTGCTCTTAGAGGTGCGACTTATGAGAGTTGGGTCAGGTTGATGATCAACAAAAGCCCAACTCGAAGTCTTAGACCTTGAGATTGGGCTTAGATTAGTTTAGTTATGACTACAACCTAATTTTATATGTTTATTAATATTTAAGTAATATTTACAAAAATTGTAACATTTAATCATTAACAAAGTAAATAAATAAAATAGAGCACTAATAGATAATATGGAAAAAATAATTATTCTATTAAGTATTTAGCAATAACTTATTATTTTTGTTAAAAATATTACTACAATTAATCCAAATTACCAAACTACTAACATATTCTTTTAATAAACTATTAAAATAAAGATTAATTGTTTTAAACAACATTGCGTTCCTTCCTTATAGTAGTTACCGGTTTCTATTGTTTCACTTGTCCTTACAAAATCCCAGGCATGCATGAATCCCAACTGGTTGGTGTTGAAAATAGAGTGTTTTTAAGACCCCTAAATTTGCTTCAAGTGGAGGGGTGGCCAGTGGCCATTTTGAAATTTTATTAAGCATTATCAAAAGAGAGGTGGTTAAATACAAGATCATCTCACCCTCTCAACCCAACCCCTTACAATCAAAATGTAAAAACACTAAAAGTACAAAACCATTAATAGTAGAGAGAATACACAAATAATCCTCTTTTGAGTAATAGAATCACCTCTTGGAACCTCATGAATAGAGTTATAAGCATGAAAGTTCTGTTCGCCAATACTATTAGGCCATTTCAGTTCAACTTTCATTCTTTTTCATTTTTACCCAAGATGAAATTCTAAAATGGTAACAATGGGTAGAATGAGATAATATTGCTATGAAGCAAACACTTTTTTTTCTAAAATTGAATTCTTTTCAAATTGAAAAGTGCTCTATGTTGCTCATTTTCATTTTTAAAGAAAAACTGTCTTAGCGGTCATAAATCGTTAGCTTAAGTCTCTAAAATCGTCAATAAAGATGTTTATCGGTGGATGGCAGGCAGTCAATGCATATTAGCATAAGTTTCCATGGTAGTCCACCAATAAACATTTATGGTGGTGGCTTTATAGACCTAGGCTGGCAGTTTATGATCACTAACATAAAATTTCTTTAAAGAATGAAAATAAGTAAGATGGGATATGATTATTTTTCATGCTATAGGCTACCTCAATTTTTGAGCTATAGACTAAATTTTAATTTTGAAAAGAATAAGGCCATGACAAAAATTTTATTACCAAACACTTTAATGTTATTCATTCTTACCAATTCTTGCTTGGAATAAATAAGAAATAAAATTATGACGCCTAGATAAATGAACTAAATAGGGCCTTATTAGCCAAAGAAATTAGTACATCATTTGCCAGGAATGATAGAGTAAAAAGATGCCTAGCAGCACTCATCTTCTTGATGTCCCGTAGAATGCAAGTTAAATGCCAAGGATACGAGAACTTCTCAAGGAGAATATTAATCATATATTGAATGTCACTTTTCACCTAATTAAATGCTAAGGATATATGTATGATCTTTTCAAGGGGAATACCAATCATATATTGACGGTCACTTCTCACCTCCTCTTGAGAATTTCTACTTGCTAGCTAGCATGCTTAATATACAACCCCATAGAATTGTACATGCAAAGCTATTAATTGCCATGATAATTGGAACAGATGAAATGATCACACAAATTCCATGAGTTGTGATTGATGGCTTCAGAAATCTAAGGTACCATGTAGGATCCATTAAAGAAGAAGATGATGCATGCATGGCTTAGGGTTGGAAGATGTCTTAAATTGGGTAGCCTAGCTATAGCAATTGTGGCATCTAATAGCTGTGAGGCCTACATGCCCGTAGATCTAGCATACAGGTTACGATTTTGGCTAGGTTGTTCAAAATTTGGATTTCCATTTTGAAAATTCTTGTAAATAATTAGGTCAAAAAGATTTATATTGGTTTCTAAAGGTAAACATAATATATATATATATATATATATATATATATTGAAATAGGTAAAGTGAAGATTTCATTAGGCTTCGTTTGGAAAAGTTGCAATAAGTGTGAATGCAAATATGTAGAGTGTAAAACGGTTCATATAAATTGTAAAATTGGGTTAGATTTATACTAACAAATTTACCTTCTTATCAAACAGACTTTTAGCTGTAATGGATGTAAACATGAATTCCAATAAAGTACATGCTTTTTTTTTTTTTATCAAAAGCCCACTTGAATGCAAATTTACTTCTTTTTATTGATGTACTTTAACATCTTATTATCAATGTAAATATGCATTGGTCTGTCATTTATTAATGCATAAATGTAATGTTGCCAAAACACAGGCAAAAGTGAACCAGAGTACAAATTAATTTACCCTAAACTGAGATTTACACTCCATGTACAACAAAGAGCTGTACACAGGGATTTACAAAAGCTGCAACCAACAGAACTATACCCCCAGACCCAGATTTACAAAAAGATTCCCAACAATAAAAAAGGAACTGAAATTTTTGTCCTCAAATACATTGTTTACTGCTAACCAAGACAACATTTTTCCCATAACTTTCTAAACACTGTCTGAAGAACTGTGGTGGTTCTTGAAGATCCTTGCTTCCTCTCCTGCTAGATGCACCAGAAAACTGCATCGGGAGTTAGGTTCCAAGCTAGCTTTCCCTCTTTAGTGAGGCCTTTGACTCTCTAGCTCTTCACAAAATGTGCTATTGATTCAAGGCAACAACTGTTCACCTCATACAAGTTCCTGACCTTATTCCAAAACCTCAGAGGAGAAACCACAGTGAAGCAACAGATGGTTGACTGACTCAGTATGATTCTGACAAAGCACACAAACATTTGTGTCCAGCAGCATACCCTTGTTAAAATCTTGTTCAAGTAGGCTGTCCAAATAAAAAACACCACCTTTGTGGGCACACCGTTACACCACACAGTATTAATTTGGATTGGCTCAGCCTCTGATTTGGAAAAATAGTTGTAAAAGGATCTAATAGAGAAGACCCCCGATTTCTCCTACTTCCAAACTCTTTTATCCTCTCTCCCTGTTTCCACTGGAGTGCTATATAACAGCTGCTTATTCCACTAGAGACTCTACTTCCTAATCATTCAAATTTCGCTTGAAGATAGGTGCCCAAAAAAATGCTTTCACTCGATCTGCACCTGTAAATAGTCTGAAACAAGAGCATCTTTATCCGATGCTACTTCAAAGAGGGTAGGATAAGAAACCCTCAAGGGTCTATTATCACACCATAAGTCTTTCCAAACAGAGCATCCATAGGATTGGTTTAGTTTCCCCGAGACCCAACCAGAAATTGAATATATTGGACTTCCAAGAAGCCAAACACTTGTCTAATCTCTCCACAATAGGCTACCAAATCAATTTGGAATTGCACCTAGCACCTAGAGGCATCCCCAGATATTTCAAAGGAAACTTGCCTCTTTTACACCCCATTCCTCCTCCCACCTCACAATCTCTAGCACTTCTCCCACTGCAACAAGTTCGCTTTTATGCCTATTTACATGAAGGCCTGTCACAAACCTCAAACCAATGCAACACTTCCATTACACAACCAAGTTGATCGAATGAAGCATCACAAAATATGAGCTGCATATTGCAACGAAGAAACCTCCACCCTTTTATCTCCTACCTGGAATCCTTTTATAAAACCCCTTGCCGTGGCCCTTTTCATTAGTCTACTTAGTGTTTCAGTTACACAAATAAAAAGGAAGGGGGGAAGGGTCCCCTTGCCTTAAGCCCCTAGAACTCCTGAAGTGACCACAAGACACCCCATTTACCAGGACTGAAAAAGGAGTATTGGCATAGACTTTAATCCAATTTTTCCGTTGAGCCAAAATTCATTCTTTTTAGGATGTAGTCCAAGAATTTTCAGTTGACATGATCATAGGCCTTCTCAAAATTGATTTTACAAAGTAGCCCGACTCTCCCACTTCTCAATCTAGTATCTATCATCTCATTTGCTACTGGCACTTCGTCTAGCATGAGCCTTCCCTCCACAAAAGCACATTGAGTTTCTGAGATTTGGGTCCCATCACTAATTTGAGCCTCTTGGATAGAGTATTGGAAATTAATTTGTAGACACTACCAACCAAACTAATTGATCTAAAGTCACTCAATTCCTCTGCCCATTTTTTCTTTGGGACTAGAATTATAAAGGTGTAATTTAAGCTCCTTTGCAGAGTTGTTGAGTCGTGGAATTCCTTCAACACCCTCAACACATCACTCTTTAAATTTTTTAGATTCTTTATATGCTATTCATATTAACTTTGAATGATTTGCATGGAAATTTGTCTTTTTTGATAATCATCAATTATATATATTTTTTGCAAGTCTTTAATTATGTTATTTTTAAAATTATTATTTTATAGGAAATATACAAGATATTTTGAGAGGAGAGTAAGAAAATTAATAGGTTTATTGGCGAAATACTAAGCTTAAGATTTACTCAAGTATAACTAGAGCTGGGCCTGGGTCTAATACTCAAAAGGGCCCTGACAGGGGGTCGGGCTGGATCAATTCATTTTCTTAATGGGTTGGGCCTTGGTCTAGATCACAACCGATTGACAATCCTAAAGAAAAGCTTGAACAATACAGTACTTTCAACCATATTCGATGGTATTATTATTTTTCATGGTTTTCAAAACCGGATCAGACTGGATGGTTAGACTGGAAAAACAGGAAATCTATCAAGTGATTGGTTCCGTTTTACCCTAGAACCTTTATTTCACTAAAAATCATTGATTTAATCAGCAAACTGCTGATTCAGGCAGTTGAATTGTTCAACATTTTTGACTGTTTTTTTTATTTTTTGTCAGAGTGAACCATTTATTTGATTCAAACAAACAAACCATTCAACCCGAAAATCAGACCCCTGACCGATTGATTGTCCCATTTGATTTTAAAAACCTTGCTATATTTTTCAATTTGCCTTGGCAGTGGAAGCATTGCGTATAATAGGGAACCGCTTGAATAAGAGAGACTGGAATTTCAACGTTGATCCGTGTAGCGGCAGCTCAAGTTGGGTGACAAACACGACAGAGGTGAAGGGTTGGGGAGGCATTGCCAACAACGTTACTTGCAACTGTTCCTTTGTCAATATCAACACCACTCACTGTCACGTCATCAGCATGTACGTGTGATCTCTTCTCTTTATTCTCTCAAGACTTTGGATTGGACCAAATGGTTGAACCAGCGACTCGGTGACCTAGCAACCTTTCGGGTCCTAGACCATTGGTTATTTGATGATTTTTACCGTTTAAATGGCTTAATCATTGAGTTCAGATCTGCTTCCAATCAGACACTCACCACTGCAGTCGCATATTGGGAATATCTTCCCATTCATGACAACTTGATAAGAGAGATGCTTCTAATATATCTTATACAGTACATCTTATGCGGGTCTCATTTTTATGGTGGGTTCCGGTTTTGTGGTGAGATGCGTAATGTCAGATCTTGTTAGTAAGGTGTTGGAACATATTTTTTTGATAGGAGATCCCAACTCTTTGATTATTCTTGGTCTTTACCATAAGTTAGAAATCCAACCATCTCAGCCACTGTAGCGACAAACATATATAAATTTGTTTTTATATATATAATAATAATTTTAAAATCAATGAACCTTAATATACTAATTATATCCAACAAAATAAAAGAACATTTTGACAAAATGAAGTGAAAGAGTCGAGTTAGGTTTGGGTTGAACTCATCTCCTAACAATGAATGCATGGGCAACTCCTGATGGAGTTGAGTGCACCAAAAGTAATTCAATTGGAGTGAACTGCCAACGTGAACCAACATTTGTATTTTTCTTATTTGCACCAACATTTGTACTAATGCAAACATTTGTGCTCGTGATGTTTGGGCCTTTGTAGACGAGCTTCCCAGCGGCCCAGCCTTGTGTAGTCTCATTTTCCTTGAACTTAAAAAACGCTAAATTCCTCTGCAAATTTCTTTTGAAGTTCAGCGTTCTCAAAGGTCAGAATTTATCAGGAGTTCTCCCGCCAGAGTTGGTGAAGCTTCCATACCTCCAAGAAATGTAAGAACTTCCCATAGACGGACATCCACCTTATGGCTACTTTTCTCATTTACTTGCTTCGTTTCCTTCAAACTAACTAATTTAATTGCAAAATTTTCTTGTTCTTCTATTTTTCTTACAGTGATCTCACTCTCAACTACCTTACCGGTAGAATACCTCCACAATGGGGTGCCATGCAATTGGTGAATATGTAAGCATCTTTTCTTAGTCTCGTTCTCGTGGCTTCATTTTATTTTTTGCATGTCAAAACTTTTTTGTTATCTAATGTTAATCAAGAGGCCTTCTGTAGCTCTGTTTTCGCAAACCGATTATCAGGTCCAATCCCAAAAGAACTCGCAAACATCACCACTCTCAGAGTTCTGTAAGTTGTTATTTTTCATTGCTCATCAAATCCGTGCAAGCGAAATCGCTTTGTGGTCGTGTTTGAAGTAATTTAATTTTCAGAAATCTCGAGTCCAATCAGTTCTCTGGATTTATTCCTACAGAGCTCGGGGATCTGACCAACATAGAGAAATTGTGAGAGCTTCCTACCTTTCTCGCTGCATTCTCTTTATTTATTTATTTTTTTTTTGGGGGGGGGGGTTCTGTTGTTGCTTAGATTTGCATGTAATGAAGCATGTATATGTTTGTTTAATTTTGCCCTTATTCTCCTAGGATGGTTAGCTCGAATAATTTCACAGGGAGGCTGCCTGAAACACTTGCCAAGCTGACCAACTTGAAAGAATTGTAAATTTCTATAACTTCTTTAGTCTTATCCAATTTTTGAATCAATTTTTGTTATTTTGGTCAATTTGTGTTGTTCATTGGTAATATGCAGTTGGATGAACGATAACCAATTCACAGGAAAGATACCCAGTTTTATAGGAAATTGGACAAAGCTTGAAAAACTGTAAGAGGTTCTCCTTCCAAGATCTTGACTGCTTTGTAGTTGTGAAAATTCAATGTGCTGCTTTCCTCTCATTTCTAACACCTACGTTTCTTAATGATAGTTCCATACAGGCAAGTGGTTTGCAAGGTCCAATTCCTCCCCAAGTTTCTCTTTTGACAAACTTGACAGATTTGTAAGTAAAGGTTAACTGAAATTGTTCTAAATTTCTTTTCTTTGGATCCTTTAGAAAGACAGGCTCAGATTACATTTTACTAATTTCCGATTCTTGCATTTAATGATAGCAGCCCAAAATGTGTGCACACGGTTCTCTCGTCTCTTCGTTATCTCTCCTTTGTACCAAGTTTTAACTTACCAGCCATTTTCCAGATGGCAAATAAAGTAAAAGAGGGTCTTATTTTCACCCATGTATATATGAAAGTTTCAAATGCCATTTTTCTTGTAGGAAAAAGGGATTATAGCTGATAAGGGAAACTTTTGGGCCCTAATATCAATAAAAATAATATTTTTAATATAATTTCTAAAATATGTTAACTTTTTCAAAAATATATAAAAAAAGGGCAAAAACACTGTTCATCTTCTTCTTCTTCCAAACCACTGAATAAATCTCTCTCAAGCATAAATCTCTACCTTTTTTGTTCACCCTTGTAAAAAGGAATACTGAATATCCATAAGTTCCGATACACACTTTCACATGCCTCGTTTGCCTACTGTTCCCCTCTGATCAGAAAACTCGATACAGCTACGAACTAACAACAAAACGTCTCTACTACAAGACTATACAGCTACAGCTCTGAATATAATTGTACAAGAACAAGATTACAAGAAGAAAAATGCTTCTTTTTTTTCGATTTTCTTCAAAAATTTCTGGTTAGTTTTTCTTACAGGAAAAATTAATCCAAACCCAACACACCAAGCTCAGCCATGAATCAAACAAGAAAGAGTACAGAAAGAGTGAGGATTGCATAGTAGAGAATGGTTCTAGTCTTCTAGATCAGTCTATCAGACTAGTCTGAAATCTGAACTATTTTTTGTGTGGCTATATTGACTGATTTTATTGTGGTATGTGTTCATGAACAAATGGGTTAGTAATCAATCTAAGAATTTAAACAATACCGGGAGAAACCAGAAAGGAAATCTGAGGATGCACCAATCGATCTTTAAGTTAATTCCTCCAGGCGTAAACCAGCAAACAAAACCCAGCCCACTCCATCACCAATGAGCTGCACCCAGATGAAGCCAATGACATTGATGACGACAACGATCTCCTCGTCGTCTTCAGAAAGCCTCTGTTTATTCTCTTCCACTTGAACATACTCATCCCAATCCCGCCACTGGTTGGTGTAGTAGAGGCATGTTGTCAGATCGGCATTGCCGGAGGTGGGCGGAGGCGGTGGCAGCGGCGCTGGTGGATGGTGGTCATTGAGGTTTGTGGGGCTGGGGCAAAAGCAAGATGGGAAAAATATTTATTAATCTTCAGAGAGATTTATTTGGTGGTTTGGAGGAGGAAGAAGATGAACAGTGTTTTTGCCCTTATTTGATATATTTTTAAAAAAGTAAACCTATTTTAGAACTTATATTAAAAGGATTATTTTTATTGATATTAGGACCCAAAAGTTGCCCTTATCAGCTATAATCCCTAGGCAAAATTCTATTTGTACTATATGGAAAAGTTGTAAATGCCCTGCTTTTGGAACCATTGAATTCGGTTTATATTCAATAGTTGTGTGGGTTTCCAGATATATTCCATTTATGTATAGCAGAGCAAGTTGGTTTGTGGCTTTTGAAAATATGTCATCTATGTTTTTAATTTCTTTCTAATGACAGTATGGAGAATAGGTTCTTTGTGGATTTTTAGATCAGAAATTTGTACCATAAATTGATTGTATACCATGTTTTAGGGACTGTTTGCTGGAACACAACAGCCGAAGAAGAAGAAGAGAAGAAGAAGAGGAGAAAGTTTGAAAATGGCGGCTCTAAACCTTTCAGCCAACCCTACTATCTTATATATATGTTTATCACATAGTGTTACATGAATGGACTAGAATGCCCCTGATTAGTGATGGGACACCTAGACAAATAAAACATTAAACAAGTTTAGGCCCAATAACTAATGACTTAAGACTCAGCAATGACTAACATATACATTAAATCAGCCAAACCAACAGGGATCAGTTTTCAGGAAAATACTGCAAGTTCCTATATTCTCATTTATCCTTTTTCATAATGAAGAAACAAGTTTAATCTCTCAATCATGGACATAGGCATGATGCCTCAAAATCTGCTTATTTTCTCTTCTGTGTTGATTTTCTACTCTTTTCTTTCTTTATTGAGATTCTATAGGGTTAAAGTTGAAGTTAATGAAGCCAGTGCAGATTTGGTGTCAGAACCTAGGTTTGATCAAAATTAATTATTCAGAGGTTTGGTTACTAGGAGTTCGTAATGTTGTAGATGTATTATAATAGAGATTTGGTTGCAAGTGGCAGCTTATGCTCTAGGCAAATAAAATGTGGATTTCCAATTTCAAATTCAGGGGTTTATGGAAAATGGATCTTCATCTTTTGGTTGAGAAGGGCGACTGACATTGTGGTTGAACACAGTCTGGAAAAAGCATTGAAGAGAAATGATGGTAAACTAGAAAAGATGAATGATAATATCAAGTAGAGATGTGTCAGAATGATTCAACCATATTTTATTTGGTAATGTAATGTTCAACATTTTGGAGGAGGGTTCTGTATCAGTATCATGGAAAAACTTAAAAAAGCTCTATCCACTTTAGTGCTTTTCTAGGGACGGTGGGGAGCTGCTGTTGTTTTGGGCTAGGGGGCATTAGGAGTTATCTAGGATATCCGAGTTCCTCCTTTGCAATCAGTGGAATCATATCATATTGAATAGGGAGTATTGCTATAAAAGGATGTAAAAAATACATACATTATATAGTTATTTACTGTTGTTTTTTATTTGAGTAATCCTCTCCCTCTTCCATTATAATATAATTACAAAGTAAAAAAGTTTTGCCAATAACTCATATCTAAAATGGAAATCACATAAGGGCTGAAGATGGATAATTTTAGAAATCTTTCAGGAGACTAAACATGTTCAGAAGGTTTTAAATTAACTACACCTTGCATAAAGTTGGTTTCAAGATGAAGAAATATGACAATACCCATTTATTTCTTACCTCACTTATTAATTCCAATGACAATCTATTGGAAAAGCTCATGGAATTGCTCATGTCTAATGAGGTTAGGTGGAAACCTGATCATGACAATGGGTAACAATCTAAGAAGATTTGTTGTTTGGAAAGCATAGGATGTTTGATAGGGAAAGAGAAGCAAATTCAGATCAAATGGATTTTAGACTTAAGATGTTCTTTTCATGTCCACTCTAGAGAAACTTCTAGGTGCAATATTTACCACTATAAGTGTAGTTATGAAACGGGATGTTTTGAATGTAAGGATAATAGAAGAACTGATAATCCTTGCAATGTGGCAATTGTAGTAGTGGAAAATAATGATTAGTAAACTAGATGTTCTCTAGTCTCCAAAGCTATTGACACCATGTTATATGGTAAGTGAATATCAGACCTAGGATATCTGCTCCAGGAGGGAACTTCTTGATATATGGTAAGTGAATATCAGACCTAGGATATCTGCTCCAAGAATCAGCCGTGAGGATGGATGCGGGTATTCCAGTGTCGGAAACACAAAGAAAGGTTTTCCAAGTGGGTAGGTCGTCAGGAAGTGATTCTTTTACCATGTCTACTTCCCAACCTTGTCCAAAAAGGGGAAAGGCCTTAAAACCATRTGCCGCCTGTCAGCAARTCATTTTTAGTGATTCTAGTCCTACCCCCGTTCTATCAGGTATGGGTGTCAATTCTGTTTTAGGTACTGACTTGTTTGCTATGCATGTAACAGATATCCCAGCTTCCCATCCAGGAGTTTCTAATGCAAGAGAGAGGGTGATAGTGGAAGGAGGAGAGAGGGTGTTGGAAGGAAGTAGTAAGGGGGAGGCAGATAGAATTTGGGAGTTGATCTGTACAATGATGGAGGAACAAAATAAAAAGGAAGGA